TTAAGAGTATTTGGAACTTTTGCTAGACAAGAAGAAGGAAAATAGACCTTGTTGTGCTCAGAACTTCTAGTTTACCATATTTAAATGAAATGTTTCATTATAATTCAGAATCACGTCAGAAAGGTAGAAGGCATTTAAGTCATTAGGAGGGAATTGCACTGAGACGAACGGATGAGTAAATCAGTGAATGTTCCAGGAAATCTAAACTCCAGAAAGGTAGAAATATAAATATGCATCAGTTTTTAGAAGCACATGTCACTACACTTTTCTTCCTTTAAATAGCAAAATCTGAAAGTACATGCAAAATTGTCTATGTGTTCATTTTTCTGGGGGAGAAAGTATATGGTCTTAATCAAATTCTTAAAGAGTTTTATGTCCTATAGAAGATTAAAACCTGATATGTAGCTTCCTGAAGCCCTTTCATGTCAAATTACCCTTGGCTAGTATCTTTGCCCTCAAATTGTTTTTCTCCCTTTATTTTCTGATGTTTAAAAGAAAGAGATGTAGGCGGGGTGCAGTGGTTCAGGCCTATAATCCTAGCACTCTGGGAGGCCAAGGTGGGAGGATCGTTTGAGGTCAAGATTTCTCTACTAAAAATAGAAAAACTAGCCGGGCATGGTGCCTGTAGTGCCAGCTGCTGGGGAGGCTGAGGCAGGAGGATCTCTTGAGCCAAGGAGTTTCAGGTTGCTGTGAGCTAGGATGACGCCAGGGCACTCTGCTGAGGGCACCAGAGTGAGACTCTCGTCTCAAAAAAAAAGAGCAAGAGAGAAAGGCAGGAGTGCAGCGGTTCAATCATAGCTCGCTGTAGTCCTGAATTCCTGTATTCAACTGATCCTCCCCCTTGGCCTCCCAGAGTGCTGGGATTACAGGTGTGAGCCAACACTTTCAGCCCAAAATTTAAAAAGAAAAAGAAAGAGATGTAGATGTATGACAAAAGTTTTATCTATTTTTCACAGTTCAGAAGGAAACTGAGTTGTGTTGAATTATAAGCCCCCAAGTATCTTTTGGTTAAGGTGGCTTGGAGATGCCTTAAGAAAACTTTTGGCAAGAGTGATGTAATTGAAACTGAGTGGGGTATAGGGCTGTTCAGACGGAATCTGAAACATGCAATTCTTTGAGACAAGCAGGGGCTTTCAGACAGATACAGGCACAAAGAGCAGCACTGTTTATACACATACAGTGTTTGTCCGGCTGGTGTGCCTGTGTGTTCTTTACCCTACATCGGAATGAGAAAGGGCTCCCTGGCCTGGTCCAGCCTGCCTTCTGCAGCATCCTCCGGTGGAGCTGCCATTCTAGGGGAATGGTCTCCACACCAGATTCATTATTTTGTTTTACTGCAGGAAAAAAACAGGCCTATTGTTTGTAGGACTTGGTGTGTATTAGAAATTCTCAAAAGCATGTGGTTGATAAAGAGATTTATTACCAAGGGAAGGTTATCTTCTTCACACTCCTGGCTCCTTAGAAACAATTTTAAACAAATCACCCCTTTTTTATTTTCAAATTCACCATAGCCATACTGTCTGCTTTTTTGCCACTTTTTTGAAGTATTCTTTGCCTAGCTCCTCACTCCAGAAGGGGCAGCACCAGCTTCACAGGCAATGGAGGGAGGAACCAGTCCAAACCCACTAAGGTTCAAGCAGGTAGTAATGGGCCGGTGTGTATGCTTTGAATGTGAATGCTATGATCAAATCAAATTTGTGAGAGCCTGGATATTCAGAACCATTATGCTGCATTTTGATAAACTAACATATTCACATTTTCCCCAGTGAGGTGGTAATAGTAGGGGAAAGAAGTTTCTTCTCTCTTTGAAAAAGCAAAATGTTTAATTTCTTATTTGCCTGAGTCTCCTCAATTTCTCCATGAATATTTCTTTTGACTCTTTTTACAAATATAACTACCATAGATTATAAGTCAACATGGTACATGCCTTAATTTTAAATGATATTGACAACTTCTTTAGACTTCTTTATTAGTAGTAAGGAAAAAAATTCACATCAAGCATGAGTTAAATTATATCTAAATACTTCAACAGTTGAGATGTAGAGTAACCATCTAAGGAACAGCATTTTATATGCACGGCACATTTAGATACTACTCAAAATGCAGTTATAGCTAGGCATGGTGGTACACACTTACAGTCCCAAATACTTAGGAGGCTGAGGCAGGAGGATTGCTTGAGCTCAGGAGTTTGAACGCAGCAGCCCAGGACATAGTGAAACCTTGTCTCTTAAAAACAAACAACTTTTTTTTAATGCCTTCATAGAATTGTCAATCAAACTCCAGCCAAGAAAAAATTTTAAGTTTCCATCCAGCTATCTTAAATGTTTTCTATAGAAAAACTATTTTCAAAATTTAGAATGCAGTATTTTGTAACATGCCTTAAAGTTTATACATATTATGATAGAATATGAAGTTATAGCTGGGCGTGGTGGCTCACAAGCACCTGTAATCCTACCACTTTGGGAGACCAAGACAAGAGGATGGTTTGAGACCAGGAATTCAAGACCAGCCTAGGCAACAGGACGAGACCCCATCTCTACAGAAATAAAAAAAAATTTGCCTGGTGTGATGGTGTGGGCCTGTAGTTCCAGCTAATTGGGAGGCTGAAGCAGGAGGAACACTTGAGCCCAGGAGTTTGAGGTTGCAGTGAGCTATGATGGTGCCACTGTACTCTAGCCTGGGCAACAGAGCACGAACCTCTCTCACTCTTTCTCCCCCTGCCCAACCCAGGAGTTTGAGGTTGCAGTGAGCTGTGATGACTCCAGTGTACTCTAGCCCAGGCAACAGAACAAGAACCTGTCTCCAAAAAAAAAGAATGAATGAATGAATGTACTCTAGCCCAGGCAACAAAACAAAAATCAATCTCTCTCTCTCTCTCATATATATGCATTTTTTTTTTTTTTTTTTACTATACTTATATAAATGAATTTGCAGAGGTGTATGTATCATTTTGAAGAGTTGTTTTTTTTTTTTGCACGTCAGAGTATCTGTTTATATTCTGGAGAAGTTTTTCACTTTTGTATCTTAACCTAAAATGTAAATAAATTAAGGTAGGCAGACTGTGAGTTTCTTTTTCTTTTTTCTGGGTCATGAACCCAGTTTTGTACTGAATATCTATCTGAACTGCGTAAGATGAGCAGAGGGTGAGACTGTTGCCTCAGCTTCATAATCTTGTTTATTAAAACTTTTATCCATTTCACCAGAATGTGCTCTTTGGGCTTTAAAGTAAAACAACCTGTTCTGTGAAAATCCCTATTAATGCATTTATCTTCTTTGAGATTTGGCAACATACAACATCCAAGTAGATAGTCTAATACATGAAACTTCAGTGAGGGGCTTCCTGTTACTGTTTTTCTGCTTTCTGTTAACATTTTTCAGCAGTCAAACCACCAGTTCTCTGTCTCCTTTTCCCGGCTATCCTCTGTGTCATATTAATGTGTTTTTGTGTTTGGGGCCATCTGGTTAGGCCTCAGACATTCCACAGCTACCTAGAGGACATCATCAACTACCGTTGGGAGCTTGAAGAAGGGAAACCCAACCCTCTGAGAGAATCCGCTTTCCAAGACCTGCCTCTTCGTACTCGAGTGGAGATCCTACACCGCCTCTGTGATTATCGGCTCGATGCAGATGATGTCTTTGATCTTCTCAAGGTGCTTAACTGCCAAGCCTTTTCCCTAGAGCAATAAAAAGCCAGCAATCAGAAATGTAGTCAGAATGTGAAATCCAAAGATATTAAGAGAAGCCAGAGTTCAGCTGGTGGTACTAGAGTCTTGGGACTCTTCATTGACCATAACACTATGTAGAAAACCATGACCATTATGTAGCCAAGGAAATGGAGACATACATCTATATGGAAGTATGTTGTTTTGGTTTAATTTCTAGTTTGGTTTTGTCTTCCTTTCCATGCACTGAGTCCCAGCTGCAGTGGGAACAACCAGAGGCACCTGTTTATTCTCCTGTCATCAGCCAAAACTGCAACCAAATTAGCCACTGAATTTTATTTGAACATAACTGAAATATTTATTGAAAACTGCAAGGACTTGAAACCATGTGTGCTAGTGAGGTTCATACTCTGTACACATACATACACATTGCAAAAAACTGTTGGAGAAGGAAGATGTAGCTATCGCTCCTTCCCCCTTATCCTGTTGTCGTTATCTGTTGTAGAAGTGCATCTCAGAGGAAGATGTGGGTTATTGCTTTCACTCATAGGGAGCTCACTTTGTAGTTCTGTTCAGAGGTAAATGATTAAATGTGTTGATGACTTATCAGTTCAGCTCCCCGCATGGACACGTTATAAAAATCATTGTGTAATTTAGCACAGTCTTTGCTGAGGACTCAAGGACTTCATAGCATTGGGAAGGCCAATAAAGGTCAGACCCTGGGGTGAATTGGGAGCTATATTGCTGGATCTCAGCTGGAATAAGAGGTTGCTGTAGGTTATGATGGAGCTACAATAGAGGGTCACGTTGGATAAAGCTTCCCCATCTGGTTCTACTCTGTTGCAATTGTCTTTCCTTTCATGTGTGCTCACATAAAATAACAGTAACTCTAAACCAGATAGATAAAATATTCATCACTATTCCTTTTGGGTTTTTTTGTTGATGAGAAGGGAGCATTGGTGGGGGTAGGGAGCATTTGAAATATTTCCGTGTCTTGTTATTCAAAGAAGGTACCACCTTCCCATTCTATCTGTGTTTCATGTGCCTCGATTGAAAATTACATAAGACATGTGGGCATTTTAAAATATGAGGCATGTCTGAATATAAATTTTGAATCCTCATTTTAGTTTTCTCCTGTTGTATTTTGTTCTCCACTTCCCCAAATCCCTTTTTCCTGTTCTACCTAGGGTCTGGATGCAGACAGTCTCCGTGTGGAACCGCTGGGTGAAGACAATTCTGGGGCACTCTATTGGTATTTCTATGGAACACGAATGTACAAAGAGGACCCGGTACGAGGAAAATCCAATGGAGAACTCTCTTTGAGCAGGTATCTTCTTTAATGTCAGGGCTATGGTAGCTACTATATTAAAATGTTATTAAAATTAAATGTATCAGAATACTACAGCACAAATTTTTTTTGCCTAGTGGAGGAATTAACTGTATTGATATGCTTTGCAAAGAGATGGTAAGGAGTTATTCCATGGAAAAATAAAAAGGATTACTCTTCCGCTACCAGAATGGTGAAGGATTCTGTCTTTTCTATCTGAAGTTCTTCATAGGAGGTTCCTGAGGAGTGCCACTACCCTGTCCACAGTCCGGTTTATACAGCAGGTTTCTTTTCAGTTGTACAATCATTTCACTGTAGTGGCTTTCATCTTTCATAGTCAATCCTTGAGAGCTCCTTTTTTTACTATGACTGCTTATCTGCTTTAAGAACCTTAGGGTCCATCCGTTTAAGAGCAGGAGGAGAACCTGAAATGGTGCCTGAAACACAAGCTTTAGTAAATGCTTTCTAAGAGAGAATGAGGCCTCATTTTCATAGCGTCCCAGAAGGATGCTAACCTCTTACTTAGGCTTTCTTGTTACCAGGAGCAGCGCTCACTGTTAGGACGGTGTTAGATCCTAAGCACGTTTTAATACCGTAAAATCTCAGTCCCAAGTTTTGATAATGAAGAACTGGAAGTTACTCTGCCCTTACCCTTTTACTGCTACATTTAATCGTTTTTTATAATATCACGGCCAGAAATACTATAATTACTAATTTTAAACC